CGAAAAGAAACAGCTGGGGATATAGCTCAGTGATAAAGAGCCCCTGGGTTCAATCCCCAGTATCAAAAACAAAACAAAAAAAATGTGTTTTTTGATCAGGCCAATGCTTTAGGAAGACCGTTCTGTAACCAGTTATAAGATGCATTGGAGGGAGAAAGATAATTGCAGAAACTAATTGGCCCATTTAGGCCAAATGAGAAGCAGTGAGGAAAGTGCAATGAGATGGAGAAGAGGTTACGTGAGAGGCACTGCTGAGGAATGCTGCTCTGGGGATAAAGGTCTGAAGAATCTAGACACATACCGCTACACTAACCCATCTCTCTAAAACCTTCTTCCCCACTTCAGGTGAAGACTAGGGCAGGGAGGCCGGGAGGGAGAAGGGAAATGTAAAGGTAAGGGACTGGGAATATCTCAAAGCATATTTGATATAATGATATTTTTCAAAAATTTGTTTTAATTTTTTTTTTGCTTCCCCTACTTTTTTTTAAATATATATTTTTTTAGTTTTAGGTGGACGCAATATCTTTTATTTTCATATATTTGTGGTGCTAAGGATCGAACCCAGTGCCTCATTCATGCTAGGCGAGCACTCTACCACTGAGCTACAACCCCAGCCTGCTTCCCCTACTTTAAATACAGTAGAAGTTATAGCATCAATCTTATATTCTTATTTATATTCTTTCTTTCTTTCTTTAGGATACCATTGAAGCAGAACTTACAAAGAAAGTAGACATGATGGAACTGTGACCAGAGCCAAATAAACATCTTTTTCCCTAACAAAGTAAATTGAATAGGACTTTTAAAGATTTTTTCCCTCTTGCCATTCCTTAATAACATAATTCCTGTATTCTTAAATAAAATAATAATGTCCTTATTAGTAGAATAATGGTTTCTGGTTATGCATAGTATTTTTGTGCTCAAACCCTGTTTTATATTAAAAAGCATTTTCTCTCAACTGTTGGTTTCTGTGTGGTTGGGGTTGGCAGTTAGGAACCCTCCAGTAGCTCTGTTAGGAGAATATTGTGACAGCAGCCATACATGCACTCACTGGGTCAGCCTGAGTGAAAAGAAGGTTATGCAATTCCAGTTCTGCTTTGCCTACTGTCTTCCTTTTCCATCTGAACAAGATCAGCTGTTCTTGCTGATCAGCCCACCTGCCTACCTCCAAATGTTAATAATATGTAGAATTTAGTTTATAAAGAAAAGTGATCTTTTGTGTCAGTGGTAGAAAAATGGACAATTCACCACTTGATGCTAGATCTGTACTTCATGTTTATGTTAGGGTAACCCAAAGGATAAAAAATTTAGATATAAAAATTTTTTAAATAATGGTACTAGCCATGCTGGGCAAAATGGTGCACACCTGTGATCTCAGTGGCTCAGGAAGCTGAGGCAGAAGGATCACAAGTTCAAAGCCAGCCTCAGAAACTTAGCAAGTCCCTAAGCAACTTAGCAAGACTCAGTCTCAAAATTTTATATATATATATATATATATATATATAGTGTGTGTGTGTATACACATACATATATATATGTAAAAGGCTGCCAGGGATGGTGGTGCATGCCTGTAATCCCAGCAGCTCAGGAGGCTAAGGCAGAAGGATCAAAAGTTCAAAGCCAGCCTTAGCAACAGAGGGTTGCTAAGCAACTCAGTGAGACCCTGTCTTTTTTTTTTTTTTTAATATTTTTCAGTTGTAGTGGGACTCAGTACCTTTATTTTATTTACTTATYTTTATGTGGTGCTGAGGATCGAACTCAGGATCTCGCATATGCTAGGCAAGGGCTCTACCGCTGAGCCACAACCCCAGCCCAAGACCCTGTCTTAAAAAAAAAATTATCTGACATTAAAATTATCTCTCCTCCTTTCCTTTGCTTTCAGCTAAAAAAAAATTATATCCTTTTGGAAACTGTCCATATTCTTTAGTCAAATATGTATTAGCTCCTGAGTTTGTTTTGTTTTCAGTCTAGGGACTTGAACCCAGGCAGTCACACGTTAGGCAAGTGCCATACCACTATACTGMATCTCCAGCCCCTTTTTGATTTTTTTTTCTGAGTCAAGGTCTCACTAAATCACTGAGGCTGGCCTTGAACTTAGTACTGGGGATTGAATCCCCTTGTGCTTTACCACTGAACCACATCCCCAGCCCTTTTTATTATTTTCATTTTGAGACAAGGCCTGACTAAGTTTGCTTACGGCCTTAAGTTGCTAAAGCTAATTTCAAACCTGCATTCCTCCTGCCTCAGTCACTGGGATTACAGGAGTGTGCCACCAGCTCACACTGGACTTGAATTTTTGATCCTCCTTCCCTGGACCCCTGAGTAGCTGGAATTACAGCAGTCCTGTGCCACTGTACTGGGCTGGCTTCTGGTCTTTTTTTGCTTTGTCTTTTATTTTGTTTTTGTGTTTTGTTTACTGGCAATTGATTCTAGAGCCTGGTGCATGAGTGCTCTACCCAGTGAATCACATCCCCAAMACTTATTTATTTATTTATTTAGTACTGGAGATTGAACCCAGGGGCACTCAACCAGTGAGTCATATCCCAACACCCMCCACCACCACTCCACCACCCCACCTCGAGATAGGGTCTCACTGAGTTGCTTAAAGCCTTGGTAAGTTGCTGAGGCTGGCTTTGACCTTGCGATCCTCTTGCCTCAGCCTCCTGAGCTGCTGGGATTACACATATGCTCTACCACCCTCAGCTATCTATTTATTTTTTGAGGTAGGATTTCACTAACTTGCCCAGGTTGGCCTCAAACTTGGAATCCTCCTGCCTCATCTTCCTGAGTAGTTCTGATTACAGATAAGCATCTCCTAAATAGGATTGCTGTGCCTGCAAGTTTCTGGCCTTTTTCTTAAAATTTATAAGAACCCCTTATAGATTAGATAAATTAATCCTTTGTGATTTGCTTTATAAATACTTTTCCAAGTTTTTTTCATTTGACTTAATTGTTGTGCTTTTGCTAAAGTAAGGCAATTTGGTAGGTTGATTATGGAAATGACCGTGTGACTTGTTTTGGGCAGTGACACCATCGCAAATGTGACAAAAGCAAATGAATGAAAGTTTTGTACATTGGAGCTTCTGAGCCCACCATGTAAAGAAGCTTGGACCAGCTGTGTGACTAAGACCTTCTTAGACTATTTAGACAAGATTGATCCACCAGGGGACTTTAAAGATCAACCAAACTGGCCCAAGCCAGAAGCTGAACTGATTTGGAATGTTAATTACATTTGCAAAATCTCTCCTACAGCAGCTACAGACTTGTGGATGGCTGAGTAACTGGAGAAAGGTAGGTACATGACACAAAGTGTACCTGCCATTCTGTGCCTCATTCCTCCCCCAGCAGTAACTCCAAGCACCTCTTACCTCTGCTCCTTGGAAGTCTAAGCATGAAAATCTTAAGTTTGAGGCTACCCCAGGCAATTTAGCAAGACCCTGTCTTAAAATAAAAAACAAGGGCTGGGTAGATAGCCCAATGGTAGAAATGGTAGAGTGTTTGCCTAGCTTGCATGAGGCCATGGGTTCAATCCCCAGTTACCACCCCCCGCAAAAAAAAAAAAAAAAAAAAAAACAAGTGAAATAAAGATATCAGACAAACAAAAATGGATATGGAGTATGGAGACAGTTCATTGTCAGCAGACTTTACACCAATGGGAATTCTAAAAACAAAAAAACGGAAGGAAAATCATTTCAGATAGAAAACTTAGAGCACATAGATCTAAGAGCAAAGAACATGGCAAATATGTAGGTAAATGTAATACATACTGACCCCAAAAAAAGAAAGAAAGAAAAAGATAGTAGGAGATTAAAAAAATAAAAGCACTCATAAAAAATGCATAAATAGAGAAGTGGAAATACATTGATCTGAAAGGAGAGTGAGAGTTTATTTTGAAGCCAGACTTTGGTACATACCTGTAATCCCAGCTACTCAGGAGACAGAGACAAGAGGATTGCAAGTTGGAGGCCTGCATGGACAACTTGAAATAAAATATAAAGGGGCTGGGGTTGTGGCTCGTGATAGAGCACTTGCCTTGCATTTATGAGGCACTGGGTTCAATTTTCGCACCGCGTATAAATAAATGAATAAAATCGAGGCGCACGCGCGGGCCCGCGCCGACTCAGCACGGCCCGAGGGCGCGAGCCCGCCGCCGGCCGGACCGCCGTGCGCCGGGCGTGCGCGTGGGAGGGAGCGCGGCCGCTGTMGCCGGCGCCGCCCCGCCGCCGCCTCCGCTCAGCCTCGCGCTCGCCGAGCCGAATATGATAGATACCTAGCATCCAGCAAAATAATGGCAGCTGCTTACCTTGACC